TTTTAAAGAATTTTAAAAACATTTTTCTTGGTGCTGTTTCAGTTAGCATATGTGCATGTCTTAGCATCCTTTCTCTTGCCCAATTATCTTTTTTTAAGGATATGAAAATACTAGGATCACTAATTTTAACCTTTTGTAGAATTATGACCATATTATTGGGCCTATTTAAACATAGGCCTAGTTCAAATATTAAAAACGCTCAGTGCTATCGCGCGAAATTTGGAAATTTTGGATCTATCAAGGAAATATTCTCAAATAACATTGACTAAATTGTTATCAAATGTTTATAAATTATATTATGATTGACTGATTAACGATTCATGTCTTCAGAATTTAAAATAGCTGCATAAATTGATTGTAAAATGCAAAAAAATTAATTTGGTAAAAAAAACCCAAAATGTTCGCTACACTTAGGCAACTCAATACCAACTGGGACCAAATGGGTCTTAAAATATAGGGGCAGAAGTATTTTATCATCCCGAGATCCAATATTGATAAACATTTCATATAAGAATATATTATTGGCAATTTAAATTAAAATGCGCTATAATTTTGAATCAATAATTAAGGACTTGTTTCGTAAAATATTTTCTAGCGCAGTTATTTTGCTATTTTAAAATAAATTTCAATATTGTTTTAATAAACTGGACTATATGCTTTAATTTACCGCAAAAAAAAAATGTTTTATCTAAAGTTTTTTTAATGGTATAAAAAGAGAAAATAATAAACAGAAAGTGCGCTATATTTTTGAGCAGTACTTTATATACATTCACTTTTAAATAATAATCAAGTGAAAATTACTTTTTGGACCCGTGACTTTTAACTTATAAAATTGTACTCTTTTTTCCTAGTGAGTTACAAGAAAAATATCAATCCAGTAAGAATTTAATTTATCCTCACTTATAGTGACTGTTTATTTGAACCGTCAGAACACACTAATATTTAAAAAAACAGGAGAACAACTTCGTTTCCTGTTGGTATTATTCTTTTAGTTAAGGAAAGAATACATTAGTTGTGTTTTGTTGCTAACGTTCAAAGGCAATTTCATATAAATTTATAATTTATACACGTTAGGAGTTAACGTGTAAAATTATACAAGTTAATTTTAACGTCGATAAAAGTGCCACCAATTCAAAAATAAAAATACAAATATTAATGTGTTTATGTCGAACAATAAAAAATATTTTAAAATAAAATTTAAATCAAAGAAAATTACCAAATAAAAAAACCTTTTCAAGAAATTATAAATAATTTCAAGATTTACCAGATTTCATCTGTGGAGTAATGCCAAGTCAGGTAATGTTCGTTTTGTTGCTAAATTTAAGCGTTAACACTCATTGATAGCAACAAAACACAACTATTAAACATATTACTTACTTAAATTACCCTGTAGGATTTTTAGAAACTACTTTAAAATCGAGTTGACTATTTGCTCACTCAAAATTGGTGTATACAACAAACATTGAAATAGTTTTCATTATAAAATTGTGAAAATTGAAAAAATAAAAATTAAACTAATTTTCAATATTTTCTTTATGAAATCGTGTATATTAAAAAAAACTAAAATTTTATATTGAATTGAACAATAACCAACATTACAAATCGTGAATAATAAAAACTGCAACGTAAGTTATATATAAAATATATGTAAATATCAATTACTTCAAGATTTTTAAATATGAGGGGCGGAAGCAAAAGAAATTTCAGAAGATTAATAAAAAAAGAAAAGGCTATTTATTTGCATAAATTTAATAGGAGCCTAAGTCGGGATGAAAATACAGTGAGTAATGTAAGATTGATCACAAGACATAATACGTTAGAAGATAGTAGATCAAAATGATTTAGATGAGCCAAAAAATTTTGAAGTAAAAGATATAGAATGCAAATTGGTAGGGTTTTCGCAAGACCAAAAATTAATTTTATTTCCTATTTTGCATGGATGCACTTAATTACAAGTAAAATTAACAAGAATCAAAACTCAAGCTCCTAAAATACCTATAAACATACAATGGAAAGCAAGTATCCAACTATTAAGAGACACCAAATTGGTGAAAATTTAATCCCACATGGTAAGTAATTGAAAAATATATAAATACATATTATATAAATCAATTAAAAATTTGTTTTATTTCACAGAAAATCCAAAAACACCCCAATGTTGTCAAATCTGGAAAAGTCAGTATGAAGAAAAATTTGACCAATTAGTAGGTATGTGGATAAAAAACTGGTTCTATGAATTATATGTATTTATATTGAATTTTTTATTTAAATTTTCAGAATCCGTTAAACAACTAAAAAGTTCCATTGAGGAGTTGACAGGTATTAACATATGAAATAACTTTAAAGTTATTTATCAAATTTAATTGTTTTTATTGCACATATAGCCACTACAGTTCAACAAAACACTGTGATAATGGGAGCACTTGCCAACAAAAAGTGTTGACAGAAAAATTATTAGGGAAAGAGAAAATTGAGGCAAATTTAGGAAAAGTCTTCCCAATTCAGACTGCCGATGACTTAACAAATATTAATAACAATATAAATGAAACAAATCGTGAAGCTTATGTAAGTATTTTGTTATTATATCGCAATAGTTTTTATACCTATAATTCAAATAAACAACTTTAAGGCTCGCTGTATGTCATCTCTACTTCTCTTAATTTAATCATTGCGTCAAATATCGATGGTGTACATGGCAAAGTTTCAGTTTTAAATTCATCACTTATAATTGAATGTTTCATTTTATAGATTCAATTCGTGCCAACGGAGAAGAAAATCCTGAGAAAGGGATGAGATATGCTCTCAAATTAGTTAAAAAGCGTAATTTCCAATCAGTATGCGTAAGCAAAAAGAAGGAGGCTCCGGGATATAATAATAAGCGAGTAATGCTTCCAAACAAGGATTAATAGTGGGACTTTTATATTATAATAATAATAAATGCATTTTTAAATTAGCAAATAAATTCAAAATATAATATGAAATTCATTTTTAAATTATTGCGTTATTCAAAAATAATCAATTATTAGTTAGTCAATTTATATCTAACTTACAGTGCACTTTTATTTGTGCGCCATAAGCAAACTATAAATGAGCTAACTTCTGGTTAACTGAAACTGATGTAAAGTGAATGAGTACTGACTCGTTCATAGGACATTACATGGTAAAACTGATTACATAGTTTTTTACAAAGAAAATGGTTTGCTTTTGAGTCACCTCTGACTCATTTGTGGTTAACCATAAGTTAGTTTTAAGTTAACTCAAAATCCTACTGGGTAATGATGATACTTACTTGTGAAACGTTAATATAAAAAAGTATGGCTGATGTACAAAATATATGATATATATTTTATTCATTAAAAAATTATTTGGTTCGAATTTGTATATAGATTTGAATAAGAAATAAAACATACTGTTTAAAAGGGTTGAAGAAAATATTAAAAATCAAAATTAGACCAATGTGTTGGGAAATATTCGCAATCATTTTATTTTGCTATAACTTGACCGTTTAATAAAAAATACGCATTACTGTGTTTAAACACAGTTTCCGCTTAAAAATGGTATTACATATGTCGATTTTGTTTATTTACTTTAAATAGTTTTTTGCTTCTGCTGTAAAATTTTAAAAATGTTAGATAGGGCTGTTTGCCTTTTAGGTGACGATATATACCCTTTATAATAATTTTTTAAAAAGTTCCGCAGTTCCCTACAGTTCGGCAATCTGTACATATTCAAATATTAACGGAAGATAGTTTTTCAAAAACTTTATTTTTGTAAGTAGAGATGGAATATGAGAATAATTTAAGTTCCGATGGTAATTAATTTCAAATACGGGAAATCCTTATTTTAAATGAATGCTCAAAAATAGAAAGATGAAAACGAGGTACCTCAATTTGAATATTTCGAGTCGATCGAATAAATGAAATTTCATTAACAATACTATTTGGCTTACGGAAATTTTGAGACCCATTTCCCAAAAATCTAAGATATTTTATTTTTCAAAAATTATATGTACTGAAGTCAGGATTTTAAATAGCTGGTAGGGTACTGAGGACCATTATTTTTCTCATGGACAGTACAGTAATACGCATCGATTCAGAGGTATTCCAACCTTAAAAATTCACACGTACATATTTCTCCAAGTTAGTTAAAAATCGTATATATCATTATAAAGGCCTCAACTTCCACTTTTAAATACTTTGAGAAATTTAAAATCTGACATATCTGAATTGCGTTAATGTTTTTTTAGCCGCATCTTAAGATTTTGGAGGGGTTTGGCAAGTTTCAATAACTGATTCTTCTACTATTCGGAAGAACTTTTCAGAAAAACAATGTCTTTTTCCAGGTATATATTTTTCTTGCATGTGTTATTCAGTTTTATTCAAATTTTATTAAAATATTCGAATAAAAACTTGTATAGATTATTCGATCGAATAATTGAATAATTGTTTAAATTTAATCGACAACTCGTTTGAAAAAATCTATATTGAGAACTCTAATAGATAGAAAGATAGATAGATAGATAGAAAGATAGATAGATAGATAGATAGATAGATAGATAGATAGATAGATAGATAGATAGATAGATAGATAGATAGATAGATAGATAGATAGATAATGTTTTTGTAAGTATTATCGTTCCTGAGATATTAAGAGATGTCCCTACAAAGAAGTTGTCGACTTCGTCTATCATTTTTGAAGAAATCCAGATAAGTCCTATTATGTACCCATATTTAGCAATTTTCAATGATTTACCGCACGCGTTCCCGTTATCCGATTTAACTAAAATTTTACAAAAGTTTTAGATACTAATTAACAGAATAGGACTCATTTGGACAACACTAATATGTACTTATTTAGGAAAAATTTTAAAATTTCTTATAAGAATGTTTTAAATTAAAATATATTAAATATGTAAAATTCTAAACAGACGTGTACTTAACATAATATAGTAGAGTGTAAGATGTATGTACTACAATCTAAAAAAGTTGAAAATTTTATACCTTATTGCTGTTGATGGTATACCCTCATCATCGGACTCTAGACGAATTTTTTTCATTGCAACAATTTGTCCAGTCAGCCTGTTGCGTCCTTTGTATACAACGCCATAGGTGCCTTCACCGATTTTTTCAATTTTTTGAAAATCCTCCATTAAAAATATTTTTTCTTTAAACATCCACAATACCGCCAAAGAGTCAGCAAATCAGCAATGCTAATTACAGAGCCCTGCGCCGACAATGATTTAAGACGGCGGCTGACACGAAAAATAACGACGGAGGCCTAAAATCAACTGTAAGCCGGCTAAGTTCTGAAATATGCTTAGAGCACTTTTAAGGTCCAAACACATACAATACTTTGCGACGAACTGCGACTGACAGCTACGCAACGTAGAAAAAGTGATGTCCAATCGTTGCGTTGATAAAGTATGAAAAAATAATTTAATATGTTTTAATAATATAAAATATATTCAATATAAAATGTTTTATGTAAAAATATTTCATTTAAAAATGGTTTGTTTCGCACACACACAAATCATAATTATACGCAACAAAAAAGACAAACAATAATATTGAAAATTTTGTTTTTGTTCTCATTTTCCCTTCTTTTTCGTACGCCAAAGTTGAATATTTTTCTACTTTTTTACTTCGTGCACAAGTTTGACGTATTGAAATATGAGTTTAGTTGAGAAATATTGTTATTTTTATAGTTATTTATTTAATTATTTATATTCTTTATAAAAATAATTAAATTTAACAAGCAAATATCTAAAATATTTATTATTTTTGGATTAAATGTAATGTAAATAAAATTTAAAATATTGCAAGTGGCAACACTGCACTCTTTGTGTGCAGAATAAAAATAAAGTAACTACCAAAAATACAAACGCTTAACAAAAGAGATACCAAAAGAACCCCTCAAATTACGATTCGTGCGCCTTTTGCTACTTCCCTTTCTTCTTTACCCCCTTTGCCTACAAACTCGTGTCGCACGTTGGTGTCCCCTCAGCAAAAATTGGTCTTAGTGCCCGTCTACACCAGGAAACTATTTTTGGGAAACTTTTGATTTTGTGTGAGAGGAAAAGAGAAAGAAATATCATTCATCACTTTCGCGGTACGGAGTTTCACGTACTCGGAAACTTGTTTTGTTAGTGCCGGTCCACACACGAAAACTTTAGTTGAGAAACTTTTACTTAATTCTCTTTTAAAGTTTCCTTAACGTCTACACATAGAAACTTTTGTTTCCGAAACTACGTGTTAATTACATTGATTTGTTTTTATACGAATGAGAAGAATAACAAAACAAAACTCCGTACCGCGAGAGAGATGAATGATATTGCTTTCTCTTTCTCTGTCACGCAAAATCAAAAGTTTCATAAAAATAGTTTCCTAGTGTGGACCGGCAGTTATTCTTAAAAATTTACACACACAGGATTTTTTTTGATTGTGTTAGTGAAAAAAACTCACACGCACTGGTTTGATGAAAATCAAAACACTTTTGATTTTCAACTGAAATTGAAGCAGATGTAGCATACCTTGAAGAAGAAGAATCATAAATTAATTTTTATTTAGTTTTTGGTGAGACAACATTTATTTGCAGACACAGTACCAAATTTTACTTAAAATATACAAAGAAAAATAATCCAGTTTTTTAATAAAACATTTTTTCATTAATAAAAAAAAAAATAATTTAAAGAAATGGATAATTGTTTTTACAGCAAAAATTACATTTATATTAATGGTAAAAATTGTATGTGTAACAGTATAGACACATAACGCATAATATTTTTTCATACATTTTTTTATCACCATGCGGTAAAAAAATGATGTTGCCGTCGTAAAATCTAAATAAAAATGAAATTTATGCTTCTTCTTCCTCAATGATTGCTGGAATAAATTACTAACACATAAACAAGTTTTGACCAAATGTTGACGTGTGGCCATGCAGCTTTAGCATTCGTACAAAAACAAACCAATGCAATTAACGCATAGTTTCTGAAACAAAAGTTTCTATATGTAGACATTAAGGAAACTTTAAAAGAGAATTAAGAAAAAGTTTCTCAACTAAACTTTTCGTTGTGGACAGTTACTTAATTGACAACTTTTTAAAGATTTTAAATAAAAACGGAATCCGAGAGATAAAAAAGTGGGATTTGTATATAATTTATAACAACAAAATAGAGCAAGCACAAAAGTTGTGTGAGAAATTATGCAGGAATGGAAAAAAAAAATTTTAAATTTAAAAAATTAATAAAAAATACATATTTATTTAAAAAAATTTGATTAATTCTTAAGAATTAAAAACAAATCTTTTTACCTTTTATGATGATCGGCCTATATCTTCCCAGGTATTTATTTTTGCAGCAGTGTAATCTATATAATAAAATTTTGAATATGTAACCCATTAGATCCCAACCATCTTAAAATCAATAAATTTAAATTATTTGTTGCAAAATGTTTCTTATTATGAGTTAATTTAAAATAAAATTTGAAAACAAAAAATTTTTAAATTTTGGAGATGCGATTTTTGTGCTGTACTCGGATGAGTACAGCGGGACAATACAAATAAATAAAAAAATTGAAAAAAACAATTTTTGTAATATTTTTTTAATATTTTGCTACTTTCCTACATAAAAAATCGAATCAATTAGTATTGATTAGATTAATTATGAAATGTGTTGAAATTCTCTGTGAATTGCCGTATTCAGTGAACTTTTTCGACACTTTATTGATATTTGTGCTAACTCTATTTTTAAAAACCATCAAATGGGTTGTATTCTTCACTGACACTACTGTCATACAATTCCCATTCACTGAAAATGTTGTCTGGTAGTTCCTCCAGTAATTAACTGTATTTATCAATTCCTTTTTCATCAATTTTTTTGGCAATATTTGTAAAAATAATGAAAAAATCTAAATGTGAACTGATTTTATTACAAATATAATCAGTAGCACCTACAAGCCTTCTACAATTTTTACCAAGATACACTAGTTACACCGAGTACACCAATATTTTAGCTTATAAAAATAAACTTAAAAACTAATTTTTAATTACTTTTTAACAAAATTCTGAAGGAAGTACACAACACGCGTTGTACGCGGCAACGCGTTATAGGCGTTAAGGTGGAAATACACAACACGCGTTGTGCACGGCAACGCGTTATAGGCTTCTGTCAAAAAAAAGTTGAAATAGTGTATTTTCATTTAACAAGTTACACATTGTAGTTTGTAACGCGTCTGCCGCGAAAAGTTCAGCAACTTTCAACTTTTGACTCGTCGGCAGCTGATCAGGGTTGTATTTTGTTTTGTGTAGAATAAGAATAAACTAAAATGAAATAAATTTTTTCAACAATGGAAGAAAAATATTAAAAAATATACAAATACTTAAAATTTTGATTTTTAAAACAGTAATAGACTTAAAAAACATTAAAAGAGAGATTAAAATGACGCGTGGTGTGTAACTTCCCGCTTATTAAGCACGAAAAGTTTGAAAAGCGTAAAAGGCGTTGCCGCCTCAACGTGTGTTATGAACATCCACCTTAATAGTCAAAACCACGCCGTGAAATAACCGTAGGTATTTTAAAATTCAAATTTAAGTTCAAAATTCACGAGTACTTTCACAAAGAGTTCAAGTCATATATTATGCGTATAAAGCATTCCGCAACTACATCGAAGAAGTCCAACTTTCTTATATTTTTTTTCCCGAAAAATTAGCTTACATACTCAACTCACTCCTCTGCCATATGAATAATACCATGTTCACATATTCATGCTTTTTGTGTGTTTTTTGAAAAACACATTGTGTTTAAACAGGCCGTTCACACAATAATTTTGATTATATGAGTTGTTTTTCATGTAAATAAATCATATAAAAATTATAACAAACTGATAATATTTTTTTATAAATAAAAACTTAAAATGGAGCTCTTACAAACGGCTAACTATTTAAATATTATCAATGATGCAATTAATAATATTGATCTATTATTTAAAAAAAACGACCGTTACAAAAGAAGACGTCGACTTATTATTAATAATATTAAAAATTTGAGGAGGAATCAACATTTGTTAATATTAGCAGCATCTGAACATTTGTTTGTTGAGAAAAGAATTTGGAAATTGGTTAGTATAAGTAAGTAAGTAATACTTTTTATTGAGACTTTCGAAAACAACAAATTAGGCACAATTGTCAAAAACATATGATATTCTTAGAGCTATATTCGTCTTACTCTAACATTTTTTTAAAGGGAAATGCAACTTGCAAATAAAAAAAAATTAATTTGTACCGATTGTACTATTTGTACTCTTGGGTCAGTTAATAAATAATGTCTGCTCTCGACATTAACAGTATCTTACAGAGTAAATGTGTTAAAAAAGAGACTAAAACTAAATACTAATTTACATACATATATATAGAAGCTTTGTGTTTTGTGGTAGATAACGGCTGTTAAATAGCATAGATAATCTAGATACCCCATTTATAATAAAACTCATGGATCGCCTTAAGATGGTCTGAGGCAAAGTATAACAAGTAGTCCGACTCTTTGACAGCAGTACCTAACTCTAAGCATGTGTTAGTGAAAAAGTACCTAACTCTAAATTTGTATTAGTAACAAAAATGTACATGTATTTGAGCATTTAAAATTTTCACCAGACATACAGAGTTTTATAAAAATTCATAAAATTTTATTTGTTTGAATTTTCAATACAAAAAAATGTAACTCTGCTTCTAAATTAAAATTCTACCACAACAAAAAATAAATGTCAATAATAAATAAAAAATAAAATTTTCAGTTTGCTCAAAATAAACGGAATTTTAAAGAAAAAATTTCGTAAAAGTATTTTAAAAAATTTTACTTTTTATGTGGATAGGTGAGATTTCGCGTAGAACCCGCTATTAATTCGAAAATGTAAGTAGAGATTTGAAGTATTTTGACACAATAATATTTCTCACCAAGGTGTTGAATTCACACAGCACCCGTAAATGTGGAGGTGGAATGTCGTATACGTGAGAGTCGGACTACTTGTTATACTTTGGTCTGAGGCTTTATTGAGGGCTGTGATGGGAGACACATCGTGGCTGAAAATAAGGCAGTCGTCTGCGTATAAAATGGCCTTTGAATCGCCTATTTCGTGTGGGAAATCGTTTAAGTAGAGATTAAAAAAAATGGTGCCAAAACGCTGCCCTGTGGCACACCGCTGTCCACGTTGCCAAGCTCCGATGATGACTCAAATTTACGTTGAGAAAAGT